TTCTCTTTTCAAGCACTTTTGAGCCACTCTCTTTTTACCTCTTTTATTCATATCCTTTTCTACCATCCCTAAATTAACTATGAGGGGTAACTTGTTTTTAGTTTTTTGTACAAATTCAGGTCGTGCTTTGTCTTTTGGTTTTGAAATTGGGCGTTTACTTTGATCCAGCATTCTATTCACGTCGTGCTTTACTAATGAATAATTTACTTTGTCTATTTCTTGACTTTTTTTCGATCAAAATGTATAAATTTAATCTTAGAATGAAAATAACATTGATACAAAAATAGTTTGTTAGATTTATTATATAAAATATTTTTAAAATATTATTTAGGCATGACTGGGTAATCATTAATCAATCATTCATTCATGAGGGTGATTGGTTACCACATATTTCATCTTGTTAATTGTATAAATTAGGGGAAACTCCATACTCTATGTATAAATGCGAGCTTAATCGAACTATAAAACTATCAGAATATAGTTTTTGGAGTTCTTATTTCTGTTTTATTGTTATTTGTACCTCTATAGTCAGTGGATTAAATTTATTAGTGTTGGTGATTTAGTGTCATCGGTTTAAATCAAACAAGAATTTAAATAAAAGTTGTCAAACTAGTTAGAAGTTATGAGGTGTGCAATTGTTCAATGATGTTATAAATTCATAGCGTGGGTCCAGGGGCAGAGTCCAAGCGGTAGAGCCCTTGGGCGGGGTCGAGCTGGGAAATTTTTTGTTTTAGACATTATTTCTTTATGAACATTTTTTAGATTTTCGTGAATGGAGTCTAAATATTATAAAATCTTGGACTATGGATAAAGACTGGTTTGTTGCTTTAGCATTAGTCGGTAAAGAGGTTGATGGTTAAAAAACTTGGTATATGAGATTCTTTTATAGTCCAAACCAATATCATCAATATATGTAAGATGTGACAGTGTTGCTAGCTTGGCTAAGGCATATAGTCAAGTTTTAATGTTTAGTCTAGACACATGGGTGTTAGACATGTCATGATTTGTAATTTGATCAAAAGTGGTGTGATATCAATTGAGTATGTTAGAGCATCTCCAATGGAGATGATAAAAAGTGTATATTGTTGAATATACACTTTATACACTACACTATACATATTTTAACCCCTCCAATGGATAGTGTAAATAATGCACTATAGTCCAAAATACAATTTTCAACTTCTATATATACACTCTCTCATTCACATCTTGTAAAAAGTTCTTTACTAAAATAATGCATGATTAATTTTGTTTGTTTTGCCTATCCTATATAATTATTTAAAATATCTAACTATTACGGAGTAGTAAATTATTATTACTCTTTCAATTACTTTTATAAACAAATTTTTTATTAAAATGTTTTAGTACGTTACTAATTTTTAATAATATTTTCATTCACTAAATTTTCTTATTTCAAGTTTCTTAATACTCTATAACCATAGTTTAAAATATATGTGTCATTAAAAATTTTAAAACTATATATATTATCACAACTAAATAACTTAAAATATTAAAATAAAATAGAATTATATTATATAGAAGATATGGTTGGAGTGGATATAAAAAAGTGGATGTGTAAAACACTATTGGTAGTGTAAAACTAAATATAGCCTACCCATTTTTACACTTTCCATTGTAGATGCTCTTAGAAGAGATCTCATGCAAAATCCGGTTAAAGAGCTAGGATTAAAGTCCATATGATGTCTCTCGTGGTAAGATTCCCAATTCTTGTCTAATCTTACATTAGGTACAGAATTCAATATGGAAAGCGTAACATCTAGAGATTGCAACACAAAGTAACATCATCTAGAGATATGTGTTTAGAACTACAAGATAAAGAGATTGAAGTATATCTTCTTAATGATTCTTTTGAAAAATTGTATATGTAGGTACAAGATATAAAAGAACTACCTATACGAGTAGTAAATATGGTGTCAAGCTAAGAGCAAAGAAGCACTTGAAGTTAGCAGCCCCTAGGAAGCCTCGGGAAGAGGGGGTACGGGAGTAGTAACCCTCGAGTAGCGAGAACCAAGGGGCGGTTCTTATTTTGGACATTATTTCTTTATAAAAATCCTTTAGATTTTCGTGAATGGAGTCCAAAATATTAGAAAATCCGTGACTTCGAATAACGACCGATTTGGACCAAACTCTATGAACGTTTGCGTCCAAAAAATGAAAGCTTGTGTTTATCCCTACTGCGCGAAAGTCTGCAAACTTTTAGGTGAAAGATCATGTCTGTCGATTTTCATCTCTATAAATAGAGATCCTCGGATATGGATGAAGATATGATTGGAAAGGCTTATTCTTGATTAAAGTATTTCGTATCCTCCGAAATAACTCTAATTTGAAAGTGTTTTTTTGCAATTTGTTATACTCTATCAAGTTATTCTTCTCTTTCTTTGTTATCGTCGTTCCGCAACGTTCTTCTTCTAGACCATTCTTCTAGAATCAGCAAGATTGCAAATGCAATATATGGAATATGGTACTATATGTGTCATGACTAACCTTCCTGCAGAGTCATGAACGGAAACTGAAAATTCAAAAAATACGATCAAATTCATGTCTCTTACAAACTCTAGTTTCTTATTTATATCATTTGATCAAATTCATTTCAAGTTTAATTTATTTAAACATTGTTGTAAATTTGTTTTAAAAAAATATTTAAAATTTATAAAAATCTAAAATGATATCAAGTTCTCTCTAAGTCCCAAAAAAGCTTCATAATTGGGGTTGACTTAAAATTTAAGGAAAAAAAATTGTGTGTGTTGAATGTGGTGCAGAGTAAGGAGAAAAATGTTGGAGCTTACAAAATTTGCCAAACATAGAAATTAAAGTCTTTTTTCGGGGCGTACTAAAAAAACGTAAAATCATTTTGGGATAAGTTGAGTACAACTTACTGTAATGTAAAAAGAGAGAGTTATTGACAATACTAATACAAGATTGAATGTTAGTGTAATACCTCGTATCAAGATGGGAATGAGAAAAACTCAAAAGGATTGATAGTACTACTCATACCAACAAGGTGCAATTTCTTTTCGAGAGCTCATCACCTAGAAACTCCAAGGTTAAGCATGTTTGACCTGGAGCAATTCTTGGATGGGTGACCCCCTAGGAAGTTTTCCTTGGGCACACACGAGTGAGGACAAGGTGTGTGGGAAAGACGTGTGTTGATTTGTGGGCCAGTCTACAATCCTATGAGCAGACACTTACGGCCAGGGTGGGGGCCGGAGTGTTACAAATGGTATCAGAGCAATCCTGCGACCGTGACGGGCCAAAAGAGCTTAGTTCACCTAGCGGGGAAGATCGATAGGTTCAAAAAAAAAGATGCAACGAGGACGTTGCATTCCTAAGTGGGGGTGAATGTAATACCCCGTATCAAGATGGGAATGAGAAGACCTCTAAAAGATTGATAGTACTACTCATACCAATAAGGTGCATCTTATTTTCGAGAGCTCATCACCTAGAAACTCCAAGGTTAAGCGTGCTTGATCTGGTACGGCCAGGGTGAGGGCCCGGGTTTTACAGTTAGTGGATACAAGAATAAACAATGCCAGTAATCTGGACAAATACACTGCGACCGAGGTAGTATTATTTTGAAGTAATCTTATAAGGGAAATTTTAGAGAAATATTTTTTGTCAATTTCTAATATGGAGTAATTTTTAGGTGAATTAACCTAATTAGTATTAAATATAGTGACTTTCTCAATATAATACATACGTTTTTATTTTGCAATGTAATACCAGTGTTCCATGTCTACTAGTTATTGTTCAAGTAAATGTCTATCGCCACTGGACATTGTTTAAACCAAAGGGAGAAAGACCAAAGTAGGACTAAAACATTGAAGATATACCAAAATAGGACTTCCATGTTTTTATTCCCGAAATAGGACTTACATTACCATCTTGGTCATATACATTACCAAAAACGTATAGTAATTTGCACATGTACACTGCCACATTATCACAGGGCAAAGTCACATTACCACAGTGCAAAGTCCTATTTCGGCGAAAAAAACATGAAAGTCCTATTTTAGTACTTTTATCTATGTTTTAGTCCTATTTAGGGTGATTTCTATAAACCAAACGTCCATCATTACTCGACATTGTTTTTCCCACCCGTCATTATTCAAGTACTATTTAGGAAATAAAAATTTTTTAGCGCTATATTGGAAAATGACATATGTTTTAGTACTATCTACAAATTTCACTAAATCTAAATTGATTAATGATAAAAATTATAAAATTTGAATGGTAAAAATCAAAATTCAATAAATAACATGATCTTACATTATTACTCGTAATTATTTTTTTAAATGTTATTAACTCAATTACAAAGTAGTATCTGACCGTATTTTTTCAATGTAATGGCGAGCAAAGAGTAGTGCCTCTACCTCTATTGAAACTCAAATCTGGATGAACCCCTCCATTAATTTTCAAGAGTGAGCTTCTAACTACTAATCATTTTCCGTATGTATCGCTGCCTTGATGGTGGGCATTGCGTAGTTGCAGAGGCAAGGAGTGCTAAGGAAGTAGGACACGAGTTCGATTTCTGAAAACTGCATCAGGAAACAACTATGTTAAATGTAGGATCTGCTAGTATCAGATAAAGGCTCCACTCTTTACCACTCGAAAGTTGTGTGACCTAATCTGAGGGGTCTTGGGCATGGGCTCATCTTTTTTCCGTATCTCTCAAATCCATCATCATAGTTGGTGCAATTACTCGGTATCTCTTCCAAATAAAATATTCCCTCCGTCCCTATTTTTATTATAATTTCTTTTTCTTCTCTCTCGATAACTTTTGTTTATTTACGTAATTTTATTAAGTATTTGATAAATTGATAAATTAAATTATTCTTGTTACCTCTTGTTTAGTTAAATTTTTGACGTATTTTTTAATCTTTATTTTTTATTTTTATTGATATGACAATTTATAAATAAAATAATCTTAAAAATTGATTTATTTTTTCTTATAAACTTCAATTTATAATCAATTTAGGAAGTACAAAATTCCTCGTCAGCTTTCATACGATATGCCGGCCACGTGGCTGGATGCCAAGTCAGAGACCAGATCAACTCCAGACCAACCAAAGTAAGATTACCTTATCCCCATATCTATCCAAAGTCCAAACCCCCCTCTCCCCTGTCTCGCTCCTCCTCGCAGATCATCAAACCCCCCGACAAGATTTTCATTCCGAATCACACAGAGAGAAGAGATCAACAATGGCGGCCTCACTACAAGCAGCAGCAACGCTGATGATGATGCAAACGGTGGCCAACAAGCCCAGAACAAGAAGTAGCTCTGGCAGCCACCCGTCGATCAGGTCATCGTCGTCGCCGTCTTCTTCCTCCCCCTCCGCCGTCCGGCTGCCACTCTCTTCCCCCCATAATCACCTCAAGGATTTGGTTCAAACGTGCAGTGATGCTGCCAAACTCGCCGCTTTCACTCTCGCCACTTCCGCCCTTGTCGTCTCTGTATGTATATATCAATCTCTCTTCTTCTTCTTCTTAGAGCATAGAATTGAATTTCATAGACTTCAAATTCATTACCAGATTAAGATCTTGATTCAGTTGCTTCACTACAAGATTCTTGTTGGGATTGTTTGACATTTTTATAGTATGAATTGAGATATGAATCGAAAAACAGGGAGCGGCTGCTGATGGAGGCCCCAAAAGGCTAACCTACGACGAGCTACAGAGCAAGACTTACCTGGAAGTGAAGGGCACCGGTGTCGCCAACCAGTGTCCGACCATCGAGGGCGGCGTCGACGCCTTCTCTCTGGGTCCCGGCAAGTATACCGCCAAGAAGTTCTGCATGGAGCCCTCATCTTTCACCGTCAAGGCCGACGGCGTGAGCAAGAACGCGTCCCCTCAGTTCCAGAAAACAAAGCTGATGACTCGCTTGACCTACACCCTCGACGAGATGGAAGGGCCGTTCGAGGTGACGCCGGACGGCACAGTGAAGTTCGAGGAGAAGGACGGGATAGATTACGCCGCCGTGACGGTTCAGCTCCCGGGCGGCGAGCGCGTGCCTTTCCTCTTCACGGTGAAGCAGCTGGTGGCCACGGGGAAGCCGGACGACTTTGGCGGAGAGTTTCTGGTGCCGTCTTACAGGGGGTCGACCTTTCTTGACCCCAAGGGGAGGGGTGCGGCGACGGGGTATGACAACGCGGTGGCTTTGCCGGCCGGCGGGAGAGGAGATGAGGAGTCGCTGGAGAAGGAGAACATCAAGAACGCCGCCTCTTCCAAGGGGAAGATCCGGCTGAGTATTAGCCGGAGCAAGCCGGAGACCGGAGAGGTGGTTGGGGTTTTTGAGAGCGTTCAGCCGTCGGATACTGATTTGGGTGCAAAGGCCCCTAAGGAGGTGAAGATCGAAGGCATCTGGTATGCCCAACTCGCCCAACCAGACTCATCACTCTGATCTTACTATAAGTCATCACAGTGTTACAGCAACTCACTCAAGTCATTGAGAGATAAGAGTCTAATGTGCCATTTTCTTGGCTTGAGCTTTCTTTGTATCAATCCAATTTTCTGCAGAAGACATTGTTATTTGATTCTCTTGTCTGTAAACCAAGTATTAATGGATATAAATTTGCTTCAATGGATATGCAGCTTTATGAACTGAATTTCTCACATTATATTGAACATAGATACAATAAGTTGCTTACCATTAAAACAACACATCTGAACTGTGGCTGGATGGCTTCACCAGAAGTCATTGCAGGAACATAAGCCATCTTCCTTAAAGTGATGAAACCTTAAAGAATCTCTCACAACTATCCTAACCCCAGAAGATTCTGCTATGAACTTGATGGTGTCATGGCAATCTCCACATATCCTCAAGTTCTTAAAGACAGTAAGAGTTGAAACCCCTTTCAAATTCAGTATCCCGTAGGCAACGGCAAGCTTCTCGCTATGATGGCACAAACTCAATTCCTTCTCCTCTGTGTCAAGATCCTGAAGAACATAATCAGTATGCGGTAGACGCCCCGCCATTCTCATCTTCTCTTGAATTTCTTCCAGAAATCTGTAAATCTTTTCGCTCTCGACATGGGTTTTATCCCCAGAAACGAACGTGTGCGTCTTGTTCTTCACCTGAACCCAGCTGCATCCGGGCGTTTTGGTAATTCCTCTGTCTCTCATCAGCTCCCTGGTTTTCAATCCCGCTTCCCTTAGCTTTGAAGCTTCAAAGATGTTTGATAACATGACATAATTTGCTGGGTTTTCTGGCTCAACCAAAAACAACTGATTTGCAGCAACTTGTCCCAACCTGACATTCTTATATACCTTACATCCAGCAAGCAATGCTCCCCATGCAGTGGCACTTGGCTCCATGGGCATTTCTTTAATGAAACAATAAGCTTCTTCCAAACGACCAGCGCGACTCAGAACATCAACCAAACAGGAATAGTGTTGTTCATCTGGTTCAACTCCATGATCTTTAGCCATTGAATGAAAGATCATTTGGCCCTCATCAACTAGCCGCGAGTGGCTGCACCCAGACAGTACAGCTGTAAAGGTCGCCGTGTTTGGCTGCAAACCAGAACTTATCATCTCATTGAAAAGCAAAACGGCTTCCTCTCCATTCCCATGGATTGAATTCGCGAAAATCATCGTGTTATAAGCAACAGTGTCTTTTCCAAGCATCAGATCAAAGGTTCTTCTTGATAGTTCCAGAGAACCACACTTTGCATACAAGAACACCAAAGCTGTGGCTGAAGTGATGTCATTGAGGAATCCGTGATGGAAGACAAAACAGTGAATCTCCTTCCCAGCTTTCAAGCTTCCCAGATTCGTGCAGATAGGAACGACTGCAGTGATTGTGATTAAGTTGGGTTTTGTCCCTGATTTCTGCATTTCTGCTAGCAATTCAAATGATTTTTTTGTTTCTCCACACTGCGCGAACCCACTGATAACAGCATTCCAGGTATCCTGGTTCAGTGCGACGCCAAGTTCGTTTCTCATCTGGGAAAAAAGACGCATTGCCTTCTCACATTCCCCATGTGATAAATATGCCGACAGAACGACATTCCACAGAACATCGTCACGCTTACGCATGCTAAGGAACACCAATTCTGCTTTCATGATTCTTGAACAACTGGCATACATGTCCACTAATGCACTGCTTATGAACACGTTGTCTCCCATTCCTTTCCTGATAACATGCCCATGGATCTCTCTGCCCAAAGCTAAGTACTTCAGGCGCGAGCAAGCTGGAAGAACAGACGACAATGTCAAAGAGTTTGGCGAAACACCAGAAAGCATCATCCGACGGAAAATCTGAATCGCCTCTCTCGGAACACCACACTTCATGTAGCAAGAACACATCGCCGTCCAAGAAATGACATCCTTCTTCACAGCTAAATCATCAAAAACCATTCTTGCGCCTTCAGAGTGTCTGCACTTGCCGTACATGTCAATCAGCGCATTCCCAATCACCAGCTCGGACCGAAACCCGAATCGAATGGCATCTTCGTGAATCTCTTTTGCCTTTCTTAGGTCCCTTGCAAAGCCACAAGCCTGGGCAACTGACAGTAACGCCCACCGATCAGGACGCACATTGCGGACTAGCAGTTCATCATAGACTCGTATTGCTTCTTTCGGATGACCCCGTTTGGTATGAGCTGAAATCAGTATGGTCCATGACCTTAAATCTGAGTCAGGAATTTTGTCGAGCAGCTTCCGAGCATGCGACAAATCCCCAGAATTTATACACTCCCTGAAGAGCTTGAGGTGTTTGGATGGGTTCATATATGCACGGGAAAGTTTACTCCGATCCTTATAACATGGGTACTAAGGAGTACATATTTCTTGGATGACCAGACTTTCCAAAATTATGAACACTAAAAAAAATGGGCAAACGATTTAACTGTGGTTTAGCAGATCTTAAATATCAAATGTACTCCTTGCTTTCAAAAAAAAAAAAAAAACCATTGGGAGAAAGACCAAAGTAGCATTAAAACATTGAAAATATATTAAAATAGGACATTTAGATTTTTATTCCCGAAATAGGACTTAAAATATAATTACATTACCAAACATGGTCATATACATTACCAAAAAGTATATGTAATATGCACGTGTACAATGTCACATTACCACAGTGCAAAGTCCTATTTCAAGACAAAAAACATGAAAGTTTTATTTTGATACTTTCCTCTATACTTTTGTCTTATTTAGGGTAATTTCTTAAAAAACATTTTTTATTTACTATTTCATCACAAAAAATATTCCTTGTCTATTAATCCACGTTTGGTTAGTTGACAAAACAAAATATTCGTATTATCACATTTCCATACTTACTTTGTCCCAAATTAAATTACATATTTACTATTCACAAAGTTAAAAAAATTTTCAAATATGAAGTCATAGGCGCCCAGAGGGCACAAGGCCTCCAAACTTTTAGGACCCAATATTGTTAGATGTTAATTATTCTAATTACTGATATTTTTAAATTTAATATAAATTTATATTTTATTAATCAAATTGTTATAAAAGTGGTTATTAAATATCAAATTTAGTATTTATTTTAAAACATAAATACTTTGCAAAAAACAAAATATGGCTCAACAAGTGATTTTGGCACACGGCCTGATGGACAAGAATTCCACCGAATGATCTGACTCAATGGGCGAATTGCAAAAGTATTATTTATCAAAGAACTCGAGAATTATAAAGTTATAGGGGTTGAGGATTCTCGTCCAGATCCCGTCTATTTATACATATCCCTTTACATGATTAAGGTAATTCTTAATTATGGAAGCTAATCCCACAAATTATGCGATCCTATTTCTCCGGCCCATCTTCCGCAACCTAGCCACAATCTCCTTCCCAACATGCGGGCTACCAACGGCTCCTTTATTCGGGGTCAGATCTGGCCAAAGCTTTGGGCCGGCCCAATAGTGACGTTGGGATATCCACATGTCCCAAAGCGCACCTGGGTACACGAGTTGGACTGCCTAGTACCTAACGGCCTATAAGGGCCAATCTCATATTTTTTACATTTCCGAGCTAGTCATGTACGAAGTTATTCAGAATATACTTTTCTTTAGTACTCCTTTCGTGACACGCAAATATTCTAAATTTCTAATTTCATCCATAAAAATTATTTTACTTTTCGCTCCTAAAAAAATTGTGCCTGTTAACATTTTACTCCCACAAAAATATTTTTCTTAATTTTCTTATCAAATCAAATATAGAACGCTTTTACAACAGATCAATAATTAAATACTCCCTACAATAATGGGCCTTGGGTTTAAAAAGTTTGACCCCCCTCTAATGGGCCTTGGGCAGCAATCCCTTGGGCCTAGCTCTGGGATTGGCCATGGAAAAATTGTGTGAATCTATTCCGAAAATGAAAGAGAAATGTCAAAATAAAAAACAAAGTAAATTGATTTTTAATAATTAAACAATATCGTAGAACTATAAGTGCATAAATAATAAGTTTGTGTATCCTGTGATTGTTTATGTTTGTAACTCTAGTATATTTTTCCAAATTAGATGTTAGTTTTTGTTTGATATAGGGTAATAGTTTCCGCGCTTAGGCTTATCATTTTCAAAAGATTATATAATAATATTTTTTTGAATTCATCTAATGATATTATTAAATTTTAACGTTTTAAAATTTAATCTACATCATTAAAAAAATACTTAAAGTGCTAATTGAAGATGCTATTTCTAAACGAAGCCTTCGTAATACTCTAAACAATATTCGTAAACTGAAAACCGTTGATTTTAAGAATTATGAATTATACTCATGAAATAATGAGATTACATGGTAGTATATATAGATTGAGATCCAGACATAAATTAGGATTCTCTAATATAATAACGGACTAATATACAAACACTACCATAAATACAAATATTACTATAATTGTCTAAGAATAACAATATTCCTAACACAAAAAGTAACATTCCTGAACGATTTAAAAGAACTTTGGCCATGAGTTCTTAAAAATTCATAATCCCTCCATCTCAAAACGGATACCACTATTATTACTAATTACTATTATGGCTATCGAGAACTTTTTTTGATGGTATATTTTTATTGATAATTTGAAAAAATTATTTTTTTTCAACTTTTGTTTGATAGAATTTTTGTGTACTTTTTAACGATCTAATAATTTATAGGGAGTACTTTTTGTTAGAAATCCAGCTGTCACTCCTTAATTTTAGCTATTTTAGTTTAGTTGGTTGAGTCTTTTACGGAAGATATTTTCCTCTTGGAGTCTCCATGTATAGAGGCTACTGTATTCTCTGCGTATGTAATAATGAACAATGTTATCACAGTATTTTCTCTTCGTTCTTATTCTTCATTCTACGCGATGGCCAAGCATTCAAATCCAACATGGTATCAGAGCTTGAAGATCACGATCTTCAAATTACTTCTCTAATTTTTCTGCAAAATCAATTCTGCAATTGATCTTCGTTGACTGTTCTTCCGATTCACCTTCGCTGATCTTCGCTGTGATGACGACGACTTCTACGACTCTCAGCTCATCCGATCCTCTCTATTTTCATCCATCAGATCATCCTGGCCTACTTCTGGTATCTAAACAGTTTGATGGCGAAGGATTTGGATCCTGGAAGAAATCAATGTCAATCGCATTATCTGCGAAGAACAAATTTGAGTTTGTTGCTGGTAATATTCCTAAACCTAATAATGATTCTTCTCGACTGTGTCATTGGCAAAGGTGTAATGATATGGTTTCTTCCTGGATCTTAAACGTGCTCAATAAGGATATTGCTGATAGTGTCTTGTATGCAAATTCTGTCATTGAAATGTGGAAGGAATTGGATGAACGCTATGGTCAATCCAATGGTGCTATGTTATATAAACTTCAAAAGGAAATCAGTTCCACCTCTCAAGGGAATCTGGACATTGCAGGATATTACACCAAACTAAAGAAAAGTTGGGATGAACTTAATGCTATCCTCTGTCTGCCAGATTGTACCTGCGGTGCAGCTCAAGCTTTAATCAAGCATGATCAGGATCAGAAATTGATCCAGTTTCTAATGGGCTTAAATTCTACATATAACACAATTCGTGGAAATTTGCTCATAATGAGGCCCCTACCTACCCTAGAACAGGCATATAATCTATTGATCCAGGAAGAAAAACAAAGGGATATTCAGCCTGTTAGTCAGATTATACCTGATCATGCTTCTTTGAGTGTCACTAAGCCTAGCTATGGATATTATAAAGGCAAACCAGATGCTAAGAAAACTCTATACTGTGATCATTGCAAGAAACCAGGACATGTGGTCAACAAATGCTATAGGCTTATTGGTTTCCCAAAGGATTTCAAGTTTACTAAAGGGAAAAATGCTTCAGCAAATTCTGCTAACATAGAGGATTCTTCAGAGAAACAATTTAATCCAAATTTCTGCAAACAGCTCCTGAAGTTGCTCTCCACTGTCCAGTCCAATGGTTTCTCTCAAGATAGCAACAAATCACTTTCAGTAAGCCCTGATGGTTTTCCCCAAAACTCCATGGTTCACTCTGCTTGCTCAGGTATTTCTTTCCCTCCTATTAATTGTTCTTTCATGCATTTGAGTAATCATGTGCTTAATAATGTTGATAATGTTTGGATATTGGATTCCGGAGCTACTGATCATATGTGTGCCCATCTAAACCTTTTCACTGTCATTTCACATTTGCCTTTCCCTCACACTGTTACTTTGCCTAATAAGCAACGTCTTGTCATTACTCAATCTGGTGAAGTCAAGCTTTCCAATAACATAATTCTAAAAGATGTCTTGTATGTTCCTCATTTTCAGTACAACCTGTTATCAATTGGAAAATTGTGTGCTCAAATTGAAGGAACTGTCTGTTTTACTGAAACTCAATGCATCTTGCAGGGCCCTTCCATGAAGAGGCCACTGGTTCTTGGTAGACAAGCTGGAGGTCTATATTTCTCTCAAGCTTCTTCTGATTCTTCTCATCAACACTCCACCTCAATTCCTCTCCATACAAGTCCAGCTTCATCAACTTTGTCTCCTTCTGTTTCGATGTCTTCTTGTAATTCCAAACAGAAAAGTAATGATGTTGTTAAACTTTGGCATATGCGTCTAGGGCATTTACCTGCTTATAAACTCAAATCTGTATGTCCTATCAATAATGAGAGTTATGATTGTCTAAACACTTGTGCTATTTGTCCTAAAGCTAGACAACATAGATTACCTTTTCCTTCAAGTACTAGAAAAAGCAGTCATCTTTTTGAGTTAGTTCATATTGATCTCTGGGGACCTTATTCCACAAGAACTCATAATGGTTTTCATCATTTTCTCACAATAGTTGATGATTATTCTAGAGCAACTTGGACATATCTGATGAGTGTTAAAAGCAATGCTCCTGAATTTATCAAGGCCTTTGTTGAAATGGCATTAACTCAATTTGGTTATTCTGTTAAATCCATACGATCAGATAATGCCTTGGAATTGGGTAAAAGTAAAGAAACCATGACATATTTTTTATCCAAGGGCATTTTTCATCAAACCAGTTGCACAGCCACTCCACAACAAAATGGAATCGTTGAAAGGAAACATAAACATTTGCTTGAAACCTCAAGAGCTTTGATTTTCCAGTCAAACCTACCTTTAAAATTTTGGGGGGAATGTGTTCTTACAGCCACCTATCTCATTAATAGGTTTCCTACTAAATTACTTGAAGGCAAAACACCTTATGAACGTTTATTTGGGGTAGTGCCTACTTATGATCATTTAAGAGTATTTGGTTGTTTGTGCTATGTCTCTACTCTTAAATCTGGAAGATCTAAATTTCAAGCTAGAGCACATCAAGCTATTTTTCTTGGCTACCCATATGGCAAGAAAGCATATAAAGTTTTCAATCTTGAAACCCAAAAACTTGAAGATTCAAGAGATGTTGTTTTCCACGAAACCATCTTTCCTTACCATTCCACAAATAACCCCTCTTCTTTCATGTTCCCAGTTCAGCCTACCTTTGATTTTTCCAGTACTGATCCTGCAACATCTCCCTCATCTGTTCCTCCCAGTTCCACTCTCTTCCCTCATCACAATGTTGAATCTTCAATTCCCTCTCATTCAGCGTCCCCTTCTCTCACAAATCCTCCCTTGCGCAGGTCCACCAGAGATTCTCACCCTCCATCATATCTTCAGAACTATGTCTGTCAGAGTGTCATCCTTGATTCACCGATGTCATCTCCTCTCAACTGTCCTCATACCCTAACTTTTTTTTGTTCCCCAACACACATATGTTTTAGTGCTCTAACCAAGCTGAGTCAGCATTTTTTGCATATGGTTTCACAATTGCAGGAACCAAACAATTATGAAGAGGCTAAGAAAGATCCTGCCTGGCAAGATGCCATGAATAAAGAACTGGAAGCTTTAATGCTTACTGGCACTTGGGAAGTTTCTGAGTTACCTAAAGGCAGAAAGCCCATCAGTTGCAAGTGGGTATATAAGCTTAAGTATAGGTCTGATGGTACCCTAGAAAGAAGGAAAGCTCGCCTTGTTTCCAGAGGATGTTTTCAGAAAAAAGGAGTAGATTATCATGAAGTTTTTTCTCCTGTTGTCAAAATGACAACCATCAGAGCTCTAATTGCTACAGCTGTTAAAAAGCACTGGCCCATGTATCAACTTGATGTAAATAATGCCTTCCTTCATGGCAATCTTAATGAGGAAATTTACATGAAACCTCCACCTGGGATGCATATGTCTTCTTCAACCCAAGTTCTTAAACTTCGAAAGTCTATTTATGGTCTAAAACAAGCCTCTCGGCAGTGGTATGCTAAACTCACTGCAGCATTAAGACAAAGAGGATATATGCGCTCATCGAACGATTACTCTCTGTTTTCTAAACGTATGGGCACTTCAGTAGTTCATCTGGCTGTTTATGTCGATGATGTCCTCATTACTGGGGATTCCAATGATGAAATTCTTCAACTCAAGGCATATCTTGACAATGTTTTTAAGATCAAAGATTTGGGCTCTCTCAGTTATTTTTTGGGTTTGGAGATCGTTTATGAACCACATGGTGTTATTCTTACACAACGGAAATTTGCATTGGATCTTTTACAGGAGTTTAATTGTTATGTCTCCACCTCTGTCACTTGTCCCCTGGAAGCTCACCTTAAACTCAAACCCTCGGATGGTTTTCCTCTCTCTGATCCCAGTCTTTACAGACGTTTGGTTGGAAAACTCAACTTTCTCATGCATACTAGACCTGATCTGGCATATGCTGTCCAATACCTTAGTCAATTTATGAGTGATCCAAGGCAGCCACACTGGGATGCTGCTGTTCATACTTTACGCTACATTCATCATAGTCCTTCTCAGGGTCTGTTCTTTAATTCTACTCAAAACTTCAAATTAGAGGCATATTGTGACTCTGATTGGGCTGCGTGTCCCACTACCAGGCGTTCCGTCAGTGGGTTCTTTATTCTTCTTGGAGGCAGCCCCATATCTTGGAAATCAAAGAAACAACACACAGTTTCTTTGAGCTATGCTGAGGCTGAATACAGATCCCTTCGCCGTGTTACTGCTGAGCTCTCTTGGCTTTCGAGGCTTTGACTGAGTTTGATGTACCTGATATTATACCCATCTCTGTCAAGTGTGACAATCAAGCTGCCATATACATTGCTCACAACCCAATGTATCACGAGCGTACCAAACATATTGAGATAGACTGCCACTTTGTACGTGAAAAATTACAAGATGGTCTGATTGCTTTGCATCATGTTTCTAGTCCCAACCAACTTGCTGATATACTTACCAAAAGCCTGCCAGGTCCCTTGCATCATCACTTTCTATCCAAGTTGGGTGTTCAAGAACCCTCCAACTTGCCGGGGGTGTTAGAAATCCAGCTGTCACTCCTTAATTTTAGCTATTTTAGTTTAGTTGGTTGAGTCTTTTACGGAAGATATTTTCCTCTTGGAGTCTCCATATATAGAGGCTACTGTATTCTCTGCGTATGTAATAATGAACAATGTTATCACAGTATTTTCTCTTCGTTCTTCTTCTTCATTCTACGCGATGGCCAAGCATTCAAATCCAACACTTTTTAATTCTTTACTAGTTTGCATATAAAATGATTTTAAAACGATGAAAATTTCTACATTCTTCAAAGTGTGTCATCATTTGACTTTCTTTACTATCATGGGAGGGAGGAGTATAAATTTAACATAATTGAATAGAATTATTAAAAGTATTCCTTTAACTTGTAAATTATCTCTTATTTATTTTTTGTAATTTCTTTTACTACAAATAAATATAGTTTTAAATAAAGAAATGTCTGTGCTAAATCGATTAAAACTTAGTCAAATTTTGGGCAAGCCAAAGACAAAATATCCTTTCCTTATTTGGGATAACAGTCAAAACTAGAAGGTTTTTATAGGAGAAAGGCGATATAATTTTGGGACAAAATGCATAGGTATAGTTGTTTTTTTCAGATTAGGGAGTTGTATTAGATATAGCTTGCTTGGTTAAGTCTCAAGCATAGTTTTAAAAATCGGACCGGACCGGCCGGTTCGGACCGTGAACCGGCGGCCCAACCGGTCCGGTCCGGCATCTTGGACCGCAACTTACATCAAACCGCTACGAACCGCTGTGAACCGGAAAAAACCGGCCGGTTCCCCGGCCAGTCCAGTTTTTTTTTTTTTTCGCAATTTTTCGCCCAAAAAACTCACCCCACAGGGGCTCGAACTCGAGACCTCTTGCTACCCAAGTTAAGTCTCTAACCATCTCAGCTAACGTATCTTTGTGTCATAAGTTCACTTTAATAATTTTTAATATTACATTATTAAAAAATGTTTAAAGATTTCTTTTCATTTTAAGAACCTTAAAAGATATAATTGATAAAATTACAAATATTATGCAAAGATTTCATTTCAGTATTTTTAATATTAGATAATTTATTTGAAAAAAAATAAAATCAACTGTTTATAAAATGTTTAATATTATTTTTTAAATATGTAAGTTTTATTGTTAAATTTAGTAACATAACTGAAGTAAATTATTATAGATTTGGTCAAATGTTATACATTATTTACTCTAAGTATTTATAAATAAGAGAGAGAGTGTGTCTATATATATATATATATATATATATATATATATATATATATATATATATATATATATATATATATATATATATATATAAAATTTTAAAAAATGTTTAAACCACCGGTTCGACCAGTGAACCAGTACCGAGACCGGTTCGGTCACCGGTCCGGTTCTGAAAACTATGGTCTCAAGTGCCTAATGATAATCTAAATTTCCAAACCACGCAAATATTTTATTTGCGAGCTCGTACGTACCAATTTTGCGCATGCATGTGCACGTGTCTTTTCGTGCACTCAACTGATTATGGATTGAAGTCGCTCCAGGCTAAATGTTAAATATGTGTGGGACCATGGGGTCTAATATAATTGAAGTGTACGTTAATATATGGAAGTCAAATCATCCATTTTTTTGAAAGAAAAATCATCCAAATTAAACTGCCATGCAGGGATTATAATATATATATATTTCATGTCGTGTTAGTTCACAAACTTAAGATTTTAACTTCATTATTATCGGTGTAGTTTTTTTACGTTGAGCATTATATGTACTTGTAAATATTTTGAGAGTAAATTACATGTATAGGACAAAAACATAGTGGATTTCCCTATATAGGACCACTCCTATTTACTAGACGTTTGGGTATGTGAATGGACTAGATTAGCCTTACCTTTAGCCCAATTTTTAATTGAAAAAGCCGTGCAATGTGTGAACAAAAATCGGCCGTTTACCAAGGTTTTAGAAAATAATACTCATTAAATGATCCTACTTTTTAGGAAATAATGTCATTTTCCTTGAACATTTTCTTCTAAATTTATCATTTTCTTTATGTCGGTTTTTTTATAGAAATGTAGTATAATAAATTTTAAACATAGTTAATGACCTTGTGCAAAAAAAAAGTAGTTATACTCTACCTTTAATATTATTCGTCATTTTAATAGAATTTTTAAAATCTCTCTATTGTTCACTAAAATAATAACATTAATCTTATGTATATATTTTTGAATTTTTAAAGTCTATTTGATAACTAATATTTATTTACAACATAGAAAATTTTAAGAATATGTATATTTTCTTTAAAAAAAATTAAAAT